GCAAGGGGCAGGGGAGGCTGGGATGGGAAAAATAGACAAAAAACTGTACTTGAAAAATAACTAAATAAAATTAAAAAAAAAAAAAGACAAAGCTTCAAAGCAGTTAATATCTATTTTAGTTGTATTTTTAAGATCTTAGAGGTATAAATTAAGGGAAGACAACAAAATGAATTTCCCAACAACAGAGTCATATCGAAACAGAATATCACACATCAATAATGAGCAGGTAGGAAGGAAAGTGTGACAGACTGTCTTTAATTTATGTAGGCTAATCCTGGATACATCTAAATTGATCGAGAATCAGTAATGTTCATTTCATACATAAAGAGCAATATGTTAAGAAGGGCCAAGAAAACAGTTAGAAACAATTTTAGAATTATTAGTTGGTGGGAAAGGTTGTATGAGATCATCCTGATAATGTATTTTTCCTGGTTGAGAAACAACAAAAAAGCAACTGAAAAAATAATTAGGGCAATTATACAAATCCTGGATTTAGGTATCTTATATGTTTAAATCTTCGTTGTTTTTTTTCAAAGTACATAAACAAAAATATTTTATTTTATTTTTATTTTTCTCTATGTAATTTATTTTTTTTCCTTTTTAAAAATTTTAGTCATTTTTCAAGTACAGGTTTTTATCTGTTTCTCCCATCCCACCCCCCCCCGCCCCATCTCCCCACCTCCCTCCCATTTCCTTCCCCCCCCAGTCCTCATCCCTGTGTCTTTCATACTTGTTCCTCAAAATCCCTCCCCATTTTTCCCCTTAAATTCCCTTCCCTCTCCCCTCTGGTCGCTGCCCACTTGTTCTCTATTTCAGTGTCTTTGTTTTTATTCTGTTTGCTCGTTTGTTTTATTCTTTAGCTTCCTGTTAAAGGTGAGATCATATGGTATTTGTCTTTCAATGCCTGGCCTATTTCACTCAGCATAATGCTTTCCAGTTCCATCCATGCTGTTGCAAAGGGTAGTAGCTCCTTATAAATCTTTGTTTTAACACAGTGCCACTGTACCTATAAAATTTCATTAAATGCTTTTCTTAATATTTGCTAAAATTATTTTAATATTATAAACTTGAAAGCTTTTAAGTTATTGATTTTTTCCATAGATGTTTTGCAAGTGTTTAAGTATGTTACTAGTGCCACATTAAAATAATTATAATTCTATTCAATGTCATAAAGTAAGCATTAAGAATCTAGAAGATTGTGCCCTGGCTGGCATAGCTCAGTGGATTGAGCGTCGGCCTGGGAACCAGACGGTCAAGGTTCCATTCCCAGTCAGGGCACATGCCTGGGTTGCAGGCCAGTTCCTGGCAGGGGACTCAAGAGAGGCAACCACACATTGATGTTTCTCTCCTCCTCTCATTCCCTTCTTCTCTAAAAAGATAAATAAATAAAACCTTAAAAAAAAGAATCTAGAAGATTGAATATAAAGATTCTGGATTTAAAAGAGAGCATACTAAAAATCTATTGTATTCAAATGAAAAGGATCAATAAAGTTTAAATTATAAACATGTGGCTACTGAGCACTTGAAATGCGGCTGATCTGACAGTGGAACTGAATTTTTTATTTCAAGTGTTTCTGATAAAAAATTATGCATTTGAATGAAGATGTGCTATAAGTATAAAACACACAGTGGAATTTTGTAGATAGTACAAAAAGAATGTAAAGTATCTGGCTAATTTTTTTATATTACATAAATTTTATATTGACTACATATTGAAATTATAATAAATTAGCTAGAAAGGGCTAAACAATTGAAAAAAATCTTTTCATCTGTTTCTTCTTACATTTTTAGAAGTAGCTACCAGATATTTAAAAACTACTTATGTTGCTGACATTATATTTCTATTGGAAAGTGCTAATATAAACACCTAAACTGTACTAGAACCAAAAGCCTACAGTAAGATCTACTGCCACTCATTTGGATCTATGCAAGATTCACTAAATGGTTATATATAAGTGATTTCACTCAGACACTGTTATTTCAAAAATTAACAGCTGACCCTTGAACAACACAGGGGTAGGGAAGATACTGACTCCCCACTTCATGCCCCACACAACTGAAATCCACATAGAACTTTTGGCTGCCCCCAAACTTAACAACTAACAGCCATCCTACTGTTGACAGGAAACCTTACCAATAATATAAACAGTCAATTAACACATATTTTATATGTTGTACGTATTATATGCTGTGTTCACACAATAAAGTAAGCCAGAGAAATTAAAGTGTCAAGAAAACCATAAGGAAAATATGCATCTGTAGTTCTGTACTATACTGATAGTGTAACTTTACACCATCTGTTTGTCAAATGTAAATATTATTAACATTAGACATCCAAAATAAAAGAAAATATTATAATTCTTTACTGGTGTAACCATTCATGCACTGATAACAAAGCAGGAGCAATATTGTTTTATGGTAGTCTATTATAATTGATATGACTGCTTCACAGTAGCCTAGCCTACACAGTGATGATTGAATCACTATAAACATTTTTATGACACACATTATTAGTCATATTCAACATTGTTAAATTTTAGAAAACCACTTACCTATGATGACTGGCTGATAAGCAGTTTCTTCAATTACAAGAAAGAGGCATAATGTACAATAGTGTAATTCTTTGAAAGTGAACTTATAAAATAGTAAGAACTAACATTTTTATAATTTTATTAAATAGTATCCACTTTATGCCTATGTAAGGATAAGCTACCCACTTTCATACAAATCATGCACGTGATGTTCTATATGATAAATATTCGCACTATGATAATGACACAAAATTGTATCACGGAGTTCCAGAAAATTTAATCTAGTTATTAGATTTTCACATGAAGACACACACATACACAACAGATAAGTTTATAACTGTATGATGATTAGTGACTGTTCATTATGTGGACATGGATCATCATAAACGTCTTCATTCTCGTTACCTTCACACTGAGTAGGCTGAGGAGGAGGGGAAAAGAAGGGGTTGATCTTACTGTCTCGGGGGACAGAGGCAGAAGAGGTGACGGGGGTGGAAGGGGAGGCATGGGAGGCAGGAGAGGCATGCACCCTTGGTAAAATTATATGGAAATACATTATAATTCTGACTTTTTCTTTTTCATTTCTCTAAAAATGTTTCTGTAGGCCATCAATCCTCTTTCCATTGTGTGTTTTAGTTTTAAGTGTCTTAGAAGAGTCCATGTCATAAAAGAAGTCAAAAGCAGTTGTGATTAAGAGGAACCCTTCTGCCAGACCATCTAATGTCCTTTGTTTTCTGGCACTGCTGCTTCTGTGTGTTTCTCCTCATTGTCTGGCACCACCAGTTCAGAAGCACTCATCTCCCTCAAGTGGTCTTCTGTTAATTCCTCTGGTGTGGTGTCTATTTCTTGAATTTCTCCAAGATCCACATGTTGAAACCTTGCAACACCTTCCCCACTTTTTTTTTGCCACATCCACCATCATAATTTCCTTGATTGGCTCTGTTGTAAAACCTGTGAAGTTATGCACAATTCTCTGGCAGGAATTTTTTGTTTGGGGCTTGGTGGCTTTCACAGTTTTTTTATGGCAATGATGGCAACTTCAATGAAGTAATATTTCTAGACTTTCATGATATTCTTCTCTATTGAGATTCTCTTCCATAGTGTTAACAATCCTTTCCATAGTGTACTGTGTCCAATGAGCCTTAAAGGTCCTTATGCACTCCTGACCTAGAGACACTGTATTTGGGGGCAAGTAGACCACTTCAAAGACTTTGATGTTGAATTCATGGGGCTCTGGGTGGCCAGGGATATTGTCCAATATCAGAAGAACTTTGAAAGGCTCTCCTTGAATGGCAAGGTACTTCCTGACTCCAGGGACAAAGCATTGATGGAACCAATTCAAAGAAAGGGCTCTAGTAGTTTAGGCCTTCTTGTTGTACAACCAAAAGACTGGCAGGTGGTATTTTTTTTTCCCTTCAAGGCTCAGGGTTTAGCAGCTTTAAAGATAAGGGCAGTCCCTGATCATAAACCTAATTGCATTTGTACAAGAATACTGTTAGCTGATTCCTAGGAGCTTGGTGCTCCTATCTCTTCCTTAGTTAAGGAATGTCCTTTGGTGTTATTTCCCCAGAATAGGGTAATTTCATCTGCTTTAAAAACCTGTTCATGCAGACATCCTTCTTCCTTGATGATTTTCTTAATGGCATCTGGAAAACTGGCTGCCTCTTGGTTGGCAGAAGCTGCTTCCCCTGTTATCTTGACATTTTTTAAATATTAAATATTTTATTTAAATAATGATTCTAAGTAAAAATCAATAATAGTACAAGCAACAGAAAATGTGGAAAAATCATTGAAGGTGGTGTTGAAACAGTGGCTTAACTGGGGAGTTGATGAATCCCTCACTACTGGTATTTTGTATGAGTCTCATGTGTTATTCAAGGTTAATGATATTGCACTTGATATGACAAAAAACCCACAAGAATCATGAGATATCACTTTTTTACTGCAAAATGCCATTTACTGAACAGACAAACTGCTCACACAGAGGTGATCAGACGATTAGCATCACACAGTGTTTTAAGTGGGTACTCATACTGAGCTCACTGTAGCAGCATCAGGAGGCGGCTATAAAATTACAGCAGTACAGTGTGCGCTACAGCTAATTTTATAGTTATAGTACATCTTTATGTTTGTTTACATTTCTCTCAACAGCAAATGACACCATGCATGATCTAGTTTTGATAAATGTTAACTTTTTAATAGGCATATATATTTTATGGTAGTAAATGATAACAGAAACTATTATCCACATCTTTTTTTGCATTCATGACGTACCTAACTTTTGCTTAATTTTTTCATTTATAAGCTAGAGGGTCATCTGTGAGTTTTTTCAAATTGCTGCAAATCTCCAAACATTTTATATTTACTGAAAATAAAATCTGGGTATAAGCGGACCTACACAGTGCACACCCACATTATTTAAGGGGAAATGGTAAGTGGTCTAATACCAAAATTAACAACTAACATTACCTTTTTGTCCTCCCATTCTTTGGCTGAACTGTTCTGCCCACTGGGAAACTGCAGAACGCCTCCGGTACCAGCAGATAACAGGGGAGGTTGAACTTTGCTCAGGATCTTCGAGCACAGCCTGACGGAATCCGTGAGTTCAGACAAGCGCAATGTCTGGAGATGGCTTGTCAGGGCAGAAACCATCCTGAGCAACAGCTGGGGCAGGTGCTCTGTCTGAATTTCAATGTAAGTCTCCTGAAAATAAAAGTAAAATGATAAAAGTTTAAGCAATGTGTGACCCCAAAGTTATGTTGTTTCACTGGGTTTTAATCTATATAAAAAAGGAACTAATTTTTATGAATCTGTAGTATTTATACATATCATTTTCTTAATTAATATTGTATAATAGTTTCATTATTAATGATATACAATTTATACTCCCAAATTCTCATTTTAAGTATTTCAAAGCATGTATTATAAACTAATCCCAATGTTATGTACATCACTGAAATTATAATATAACAGAAGTGAATATACTCAGTTAAAAAGAAACAGGCTGAATGTCGTACCTGACACAGCACCCTCATACTTCTAGTGGGCTTCACAATGAGAAAGCAAGAATTTAGGAGAGAAAAGGGGAGAAGATTTCCAAAGTCTTCATTAATAGAATCATTAATTAATATAAATACAGCATTAAATCATTATACACTAAACATTTAGGATTTCAATAACATGCAATTATGAAGTATATTCCATGTATTAAGACTTGTGTATGTGTTATATATATGTATATATACGTATATATGTATATATATATACATATATACACACACATGTCACAGGACAAAACAGTTGGAAAATTTTATGGGAAAAAAAGCTGTGCCAAAAGGGAAAAATATATTTAATATTAAGGATAAAATTTATTTGAAGATAAGGTCTCCAACATGTAATATATGAACTATGTTAGATTTCCTCAATATTTTTTTACCAAGGTGATCTTACCAAAGAAACTATATCCAACAAAAAATCCACCAATAAGCAGAAATTGCTCAGCTGTAACTCAGATGACTCACTATCTCCAGGCCCAGTCTGAAGTCTAGCGTGCATTGTTCTCCTAAAAGAACAAATTTCACTTTATCAAACATACTATCAAGTGAGATGAACATATGACAACAATACTTTTTCAAATGAGGTCAACTCAACACTGGGGACACACACAGTAATGTTCCTGGGACGATGTGCATCCCCTTCCCCACAGGACACTACTGCACCCCTATGTGGAAATCCCCAGAGTAAGATTCCTGGTTTAACCTCTCACTGTAACTCTTACCCTGTATTTCCAAGGGTTCTGGATGGATCATACTTTTGGGGACTCATTTTCTATTGTTACACTATGGATATCATTTCCTAGTTAAAAAAGATTATTTGCTGCTTCATTTCTAACATTAGGGCCTTTGTTTATACAAACCTGTCCTCTTGGAAGGTCACCCTCCCTCAACCTCATTCTCTCCTATCAGAATGCATCTGTCCGTCAAGGTTTAAGATCAAATGCTACCTCCTCCAGGAAGCCTCTTCTAATCCAAGTACTAGAGATCATTACTACAACATTCACATCAAATCTTATGAATCCTATATGAACATCTATTGCCCTATACTCTGAAAGTAGAAATACAATGCAGTCCCTAATCAATAAGAAATATAAACAGATAAATAAATATAATAATGTGACAGTATAGGAAAAGCTGATTCTGATGAGAAACTTGAGGAAGTCATGGAAAGCTATTAAAAGGCGGGTGATCTCTATATAGGACCTTACCAGAGGGGCAAAGGGGAAAAATATTTTAGAAGAAATAGCAACGTGAAGGCTCAGCAGCCTGAACATTAATGTGTGTTTAGAGAATAGTCCAGGTTAGCTAAAAAAGGACGGATGGGTATGTTGATGAATGTAGAAAAGACGGAGAGGTGGCAAAAGACATTCGTAATTCCTCAACATTCCTACCACATTTTAACCTCTCTACTAAGGTATTTGTAACTTTTAACTTAATACTCAGAATACACACGTGCATGTCTTACTTGTTTTCATTACAAAGTCTTTGAAGACAGGGACCGATAGGCCTAGCACAGTGCTTTTTGTCTGGGTGCTCATTATCTGCTTTAATGAATAATAAAACTATTTTCTAAATAAGTAAAGGTATGATTAATGTATCACATCAGCATTTATATATTTAAGACTTACAATCCTGAGTTCATGCATGTTTACTTTTCAACTATATGTTCCTGAAGCTTGAGTGGTTAATCTGGTTCTGAGTGAATGTGGGCTAGAATCCAGAAAGAGATTCTACTTGGTTAACTAGTATTCTTGGGTTTTCAGAGCATTTTGTAACTTTATATCCTAGGGGGTGAAGGGCTTTTATCACTCAACAGTGACAATATGGCTAGTTCTATGGCTTAAAAATACAAGTGTAATACCAAGGAATTTTTTGTTAATCAAAGTAGGAATAATTTTGGGGATGGGTTCTAAGGGAACAGGAACAAATTTGCTATTTGCAACAAAGAAAAACTGAATTAGTATAGATTGGAAAGAGAAAATCTTTCATGTATGCTGGTGACTGTACAACTCACATCTAACTCCTTTTCACTTCTAAGACTATACAATTAATAATTCTATATTCTATAGTGACAGGGTAGAACCAGATTATGGCTATTAAATACGTAACAAATTGTCAATAGTAGCAGTAGAATGTATAAAAGAATATTCTTTTCACTAGACTGAAGAACTTAAAAAACAAACAAAGGTTGGCTTTGAACGCTATTAAACTGAAATAAATTGTAACAGTTTCACATACCTGCAACATTCTTCAAACCAACGTGCAACATAATCCCACATATAGTAAGGCTCAAAGGAATTAAAGAGAAGGTTGGCAGTTTTAATCAGCTCTGCTGTTCTCTTATTTTCCCTTAATTTACTAAAAAAGGAAAAGAAAAACAAAAACTAATAAATATTAACATTCATTTTTTCAAATTTAAATGTGACTACAGTGTTGTTAGGAAAGTACATATTCCTACTCAATTGCTAGAACACTTGCTAGTGAGAAAATTGGAATGGATAATTTTTATCTGCTGCCACTCTGTTATGTTATGTGCAGTTTTTTTCCAAATCTGAGTTTTCATAACTAAACTGTATGATCAAAATTGAAAATTAGATTTGCATAAGAAAAACCTATGCTTCCAGAAAAAGAACAGGAAGTTCTTTTTGAACTATTTGAGTACCTGACTTGAAATCTGGCATTATTTTGTTTCCCTTGGCATATATAAACTAAGTAGTGACTTGATTTTGATGGCCTTGATTCTGAAATAACTTGGTCTGTTTCCCTGTGCTATTCAAGATTTTTTTAAGAAAACTTAAATTTATTTGGTGAATTTCAACCTAGTTTCTTAGCTGAAAAACAACCGAAAAAAAGGACTAGCACTGTATATAGCCACTATTACTGAAACCCTATCAGAAAAGATAACTTTGTTACTTCACATGGGAACCCTTTATAAATTACCCACCTACCTACCATCTCTTGCCATCCTGCTTACCATGAAAACAATTATTTTTGTATATAGTGAGGTACCTAGCAAGGTACAGCACATAGCCACAAATTAAAGACTAATTAAATACTCCATGGGGCAATCTAAATTATCAGACAGGGTACAGAATAAATCAGTATACTACTTTAGTCAATGTAAACTTTTCAAACTAAAATTATAGGGTATCATATTTATTAGAAATAAAAAACTGCCTTAAAATGTTTTCATGTATAAAAGTATGTTTTAGGGAAAACCCAGGTTATCTCAAGTCTTACCAAGGAGACACTAATGAAATGAAAATCATGTAAAAGAAATTGTCTTAGAACCTTTGTCATATAATAATAGTAACTGAGACTGCAAGAGTGGCAGGCTGCCTAATAGAGGAGAAGTAAAAAAGCAAGACTTTGTCAGCATGTGTTTATCGCTGACCTGGAGAACAAGATATGCTAATTTTATCACTTATCCTAGGCATTAAAAGATGCATGTGCTCCCTTATTTATTTATTTATTTATTTATTTATTCATTCATTCATTCATTCATCTGAAAGAAGAAATGAACAGAACTCGGAAAAAATCTTTAAATACCACCTGGTGCCCTTTGATCATTTAAATCTGGGTTCAAATCATGTCATGCCTAATTTTTTTGGTAATCCACCTGCTTAACTGAGCATGATCCTTGCTGAAGGGTGGTTCCATCTGAAGATCCAATTCTGCTTTGCACTGAGAATACAATGTTCTAAATACTTCAATTAGGACATCTTCTAGAATTACAGGTCCTAAAATTAATATATACACATTGAAGACAGAATTAATTAGATTGGCCCAATTAAAGAATGCTTCAAGACAAGTATTTTTTGCAATAATTTTTTCCCTAGAAGATGAACTAAACTTCACATTTTAAGAAGCTAACAGTAAAACAGTAAATAATTGAACAAATATATATTTAACTATAAGCTGAAAATTGGCTTTGCCAATTAATAGCTGTTACTTTGGACAAGCCATTTAACTTTTCTGAGCTTTAGTTTCCTCATCTAGAATGAAGATAATAATACCAAACTTACATGTCTGTTGTAATGGTTACAAAAAATATTTGTTGGGTGGGGTAGCATAGTTCCCAGGATATAGTGACTATTCAGTAAATGATAGTAATGTTACTACTATCTTGAATTAATTTAAGTAATATAAAAATGTACAGGGACAATACTCATTGCTATAACAGACAGAAATCTCCTTGAAAAAAATTCCTGAGCTTCACCTGTTAGCACATAATAGCTAAAATAAACCCTCAAAGCCATCCATACAGCTTGATATTTTTATATTTAAAAATTTTCATTTTGAAGAGATTCATACTTTATTATTCCTTTGTGCTAATATTTATGTTTTTTTCTTAATTTTTGTCCCAGGTGCCAAAATTCACTTCCCAATAGACTAATTATATAAGGAATATACAATTAAAAACGGGAAATACACAAGAGAAAGGGGGTGTGAAGAAGGTTAGGTATACAACCCAAATATTTTTGCTCAAGTCCTTGAATTCTGTAAACTATAAGCCAGTTACGACATATCATGTTTCAATTTCACTAACAATCAGGATATGAAGAGTTTACATAGTATTTTTATATTTGTAAATAGGTATGTATGTATGTGTATGTATACACACACACACACACACACACATATCCACATCCAAGGATATGTTTACTGATTTTAGAGAGGAAGGAGAGTGGGAGGAGGAGAGGGAGAAAGGGAGAGAGGGAGGGTGGAGGGGAGAGAGAGGGAGACAAAGAGACATATCAATGTGAGTAAAACATCGATTGGTTGCCTCCCATAGGTGCCCTGCAGACCAGAGATTGAACCTGCAACCTAGATATGTGACCTGATCAGAAATCAAACCTGCAACCTTTTGGTGTATAGGACAATGCTGCAAGCAACTGAGCCACCCAGCCAGGGCTAGACAGCATCTTTAAAATGACTCCTCTGCTATGCACATAGTAGTGCAGGGTAAGTACACAATAACATACCAGTTGGATGTACATCTGTATCTCCTTAACATTCTGGAGATGTTAGGTAAGAAATTGTTAAGAATGTGTATTTAAAGCCCACATCAAAATACAGCAGTTTTTCTAAGTAATGACTTTGTCTTATTTTTATTATGAAGGAATACAAAACACACACCTATGTGAGCTCACACCCTAGGACAGTATATATTACCTAGCTCAGGTTTGTCCAGTAAACTGATTAAAATACGAAAAGGTTTTAGATCCTGCATTAAAGTGCTCTCTTCGCCAAATCCATTCACTTGTAAGATCCCCACCATTGCCTTTAAAAAAGAAAAAAGGTACACTAGTCATTTAAGTAAACAGATTAGAAGATATTTTCTTTTAAAGTTTTAAAAAAAATACAACCATATGCATTGGAGATTGATATCCCCTATTGCTGTTCTGAAGCTCTTCACTAGAGCTGGCTTTTGCCTTCCACTACTGGGAAAAAATGTTACAACATTTTCCTTGAGAGAAGAAAACAGTGCTTGTATATATTTTTTCTCTAGAAAGAAAGTGGAAAGTTAAAGAAAATCTAGAAAAATAAATTCATGAGTTTTTTGATTGCCAAAAAGACCAAAATATTTCTACTTAAGATCATCAACATGCACCAAACTATGCCACATCATATGGTAGTATCTGCTAGTGTGCAATTATTTTCCCATTGGTGACACAAAACCAACTCTATCATGTAACTCTATTAATATAACCTCCTTCACTTTAAACTGCTTCACATACCATGCATTTTCGCAGTTTATTTTCAGATATCCTGAGTAAATATACTTGAAGTAAAAATAATATAAATTAAGCATATGGTTCATTTTAGCATTTCTGTTACAACAGTAAATTTTTACCAAATATTTAGATTCCTGTTGAAAACCAAATTTCCCGGGGCTTCAGAGGAAACAGCACAGGTCCTGGCCCATTTTGGGCAAAGCTCCAATTTTCATAGGGAATGGGTGAGAAGCTTCAACTGTTTTAATAAAGTCATGAAAATAAACTAAAAAAAATAAAATCTCTGGACTTACATAGAAGTAAGTCTAGCCTGATTAGTTATTCATTTTGTTTTGGAGACATTTCTTATCATAGTTACTCAGAAAGTCTGTGCCTCTTTTCTCCACCTCTTCAATTATGAATTAGTTCATTTAAGGCAGAGCCTTGTCTTACAATTGTTTAGTAAATCTATTGGTCAGATAGTAACCAAAAAATAAAATGAAAACATTCATTACCTGGACCAACAATTCTTTTGAAAAGGTAGAAAAATAGTAAGTGGCGTGTTCTTCAGGATTACTGTGTCTTGTGCTTCTGGGTCCTATGATAGCGCCATTGTTATCAAAACCTCCGTGGAAATAAATGACAAAATAAATTAAAATGAAATTCTCAAAACTGCTGTTCATTAACACCAAAACAGCAAATAGCTCAAAAACAGCACTAAACACTTACCGATTAGTAGCCCAATCAATGTCAGCAAGAGAGATCATTTTAGATAGTTTAATAAAGGGAAACCAATTCAATACGGAAGTGAGTATCATAGTATTCTTTCAGAATTATCCTGGTTTGTTTTGTTTAACCTAGATCTTACAAACAGTGAAATAACTGAAGAGTCGGAAAATCCAAACTAAGAAATGTTATGTCCTGTCACTCCAGGTGGTAAGGAGTTGTGAAGACAGGACAAACACTGAGGAAAAGTATGGAAGAACCAAGTGTACAAATGCTTTACCACCTGAGTGCGAGACTGGTACCATGTGTGGGGCAGTCGTACTACTAGTCTTCATTCCTTTGATGACTTCGAAATTTTAGAAATTATGTTTTTATTTTGATTATTAATTTATTCTTCTTTGTCCATATACTTACAGTATAATATCCTCATTTATAAGGACAAAAAGTCTTGTTAAAGGAAATATGACCTATGGATTAAAAGAGCTTCTTCAACTAAGGAGGTTTTAAAATTTCTTCATATAAAACACAACAGTGTTTGTATTTTTATTGTCCATTTAAGTTAATTTTTGGTTTCTTCACTTAGGACATACATACAACTGGATAATGCTTATGTATAGCAACGTTCCCTTCATCTTTTCCCAGCTAAGACTGCACACATCAAACACCTACCTAAAAGCCATGCATAAAGTCTTCGGTTCAGGGACATATCCCTCCTCAGTACTACGTGAAGGGCTGCTGACAAGATCCTGATCATATCTGGCCGAGTGGCCTGAAAAAGTTAGAAATGTTGTTGTTTTTAATCACATACAAAAACATTATTTTCCCCCTCTCAAAAAAAATCTTACAAAACATTTAGAACTTTAGGGCTTAGGTACTTTCACACACAGGAATTATTACTCCTGTTATACAGATTAGGAAAAAATAGAAAAGTTAGATAACAGTTATTTAGTTGCACAGTTGAAACTGAAACTGAATTATTGTGACCTCCAGTTTAAAGTTTTTTATTCTAACCAATATTAACAAAATCTGACATAAAACGGAAAAGAGAGAATTATTGGGAAAAATACAAAAAATCCTTTGGTCTTTCACATTCAGAAAGTCAACTAACTATGAGTTTGTTATTGTATTAATGTAATGAAGTGTGTTAACATGTGGAAGATCCACATAATTCAGTAAACCAACATTTCCAAATAATCAATCATAATGTTATCAAAAAATGTATGTGTAAAAGATATGTTCAAAGTGCAAGACACAGCAGTGGATTTTAATAAAACAGAATATTAGAAAGTTCATTGATACGATTTTAGATTTCAGACTGCAACTAAGTTTTTAAAACTATAGCTTGTTGAGTTTTGGTGTGGTATCAAAGAAGAATGTGCTATTTCAACAGAAAAGACTATGGAAATACTTCTTTGCTCAACTTACAAATTAGTGTGAGATCAGATTTTCTCCATATACTTCAATCAAAATAAAAAAATAATCACAACAGAATGAATGCAAGAATGGATATGAGCATTCTGCTTCCTGCCAGGAGGCCTCACATTAGAGATCTGCAAAAATACAAAGCGGTGCTACTCTACCCACTAGGGTTTCTTTTTTCTGTGTTGGAAAATAGTTATTTTCATAAAATGTTATTTATACTAATGTGATAACTTTGTTATTGTTACTTTTAAATGAATTAGTAAATACTTAAAAAATTGTCAGTTTTTTGCCCTGGCCATATAGCTCAGTTGGTTAGCATCACGCTAATATGCCAAGGTTGCAGGTTCCATCCCCGATCAGGACACATACAAGAGGCAACCAGTGAATGCTTAAGTAAGAGGAACAACAAATCTATGTTTCTCTCTCTCCATCTAAATTCAATAAAAAAAAAACCTGTCAGATTTTCTAATATGATATACATAGATCTAACCTACATAAGCAAAAGATTTTTAGAATCCTCAATATTTTTAAAGAGTAATGGGGTCTTGCAATCAAAGCATTTGAGAACTGATCTTTTTATTCAACATCAGATAGACAGATTATAAACATTGTCACAGAATTTTTAAAAGTACAGTCTTCCAATTTTGCCACTCATAAGAAAGTAAAAAATCATTTCTTGATTACAATTAACATAGAAATTATAATCAAGTACAAGGATGTCACAGTGACTATTGATTTGCCTTTCAAATTCAGCCAGCTCTGCTAAAGGTCTGACAATCTCAACATCACCAAACTGAGAAAAGATAACATCAGAACAAATACCATCTGGGGAGAATACTTGATTTCAAAGCAATGAGTACTTCCTGCTTATTATAGGTTAGAACTTTTATACACTTAAATTATTTTTTAAAAAAGTTTTAAAGATTTTATTTATTTATTTTGAGGCAGAGGGGAAGGGAGGGAAAAAGAGAGAGAAACATCAACGTGTGGTTGCCTCTCCCACATCACCTGCTGGGGACCTGGCCTGCAACACAGGCACAAGCCCTGAGTGGGAGTCAAACCAGAAACCCTCTGGTTCACAGGCCCGCACTCAATCCACTGAGCTATGACATATGCTTGAATTCTTTTTATTTCCTTTAGGTAAATTAAACATCCAAAAGCATTTTCCCACTATATATAAATATTTTTTGTTTATAGTTTTCACAAGTTCCCATGTTTTCCATACACTTACTAGTTTGTAGAAAAGAATGTAACTTAAATAATTATACATCATAAATCTATGATTTTCCAAAGAATGCTTTGTATTATTATCAGCATTAATGTTTTACCTGACTCATGTGGAATGGGAAACAGAAGAGTATGAGGTCCAGTGTGCTTCTCTGTACCAGTACACTTGAATCCTGCACCGAAGTACTTACGGCTTCTACCTAAAATGAGAGCGCCTTTAACATCTATTATCTATTACACTGGGAGAGATTTATCATGAAAATATAACAATACTCATTTTCTCCCATAAACGAAAATATGCTTCTGAGCATCTTATCAATAATTAAACATACTGCACTACTTTTAGGTAAATAGATTATGATGTTTTAAAAGTTAAGGAACACAGAAGAGTATACAACAAAAAGGTTCTTCTCTGTCTCCCAACCACCCAATTTTCTCTTTGCAAGCAGCCAGTATTACTGGTGAATATTTTCTCCAAGTAAGAGTAAACAAAAGCACACAGGTAAATACGGCAAATTCTGACTTTTTAATTTAAAAATATATTTTGGATATCTTTTCTTATCAGTACATAAAGTACCTTATTATTTTTTATAGCTACAGTACTTTATTTTATAGATAAACCCTAATTTGGCTATATTCCTAACGACAGGCATTTAAAAAAAGTTTTGTAAACTTTTTTTAAAAATAATTTTATTTAGTTATTTTTCAAGTACAGTTTTTTTTTATCTATTTCTCCCATCCCAGCACCCCCCCCCGCCCCGCGCTCCCCACCTCCCTCCCATTTCCACCCCCCTTAGTTCTCATCCCTGTGTCCTTCCTATTTGTTCCTCCAAATTCCTCCCCTTTTCCCCCCCTTAAATTCCCTTCCCTCTCCCCTCTGGTCATTGTCCCCTTGTTCTCTATTTCAGTGTCTTTGTTTTTAATTCTGCTTGCTTGTTTGTTTTGTTGTTTAGCTTCCTGTTAAAGGTGAGATCATATGGTATTTGTCTTTCACTGCCTGGCTTATTTCACTCAGCATAATGCTTTCCAGCTCCATCCATGTTGCTGCAAAGGGTAGTAGCTCCTTCTTTCTCTCTGCTGCATAGAATTCCATTGTGTATATGTACCCCAATTTTTTGATCCATTCATTTACTGACAGGCACCTAGGTTGCTTCCAGCTCTTGGCTATTGTAAATTGTGCTGCTATGAACACTGGGGTGCATAGGTTCTTTCGGATTAGTGCTTTAGGGTTCTTAAGGATATAATTAGAGCAGTGGAATTGCTGGATCAAAAGGCAGGTCCATTTTTAGTTTTCTGAGAAAATTCCATACTGTTTTCAATAATGGCTGTACCAGTCTGCAATCCCACCAACAGTGAACTAAGGACCCCTTTTCCCAACAACCTCTCCAACATTTATTGTTTGTTGCTTTGTCTATTATAGCCATCCTGACCGGTGTAAAGTGGTATCTCATTGTGGTTTTAATTTGCATCTCTCTGATAGCTAACAATATTGAGCATCTCTTTGATATACCAAAAAGAAAAATACCTGGGAATAAACCTAACCAAGGAGGTAAAAGACCTGTATGTAGAAAACTACACAGCACTGAAGAAAGAAATCAGGGAAGACACAAACAAATGGAAACATATACCTTGTTCATGGATGGGAAGAATTAACATCATCAAAATGTCCATACTACCCAAAGCAATGTATAGATTCAATGCAATACCTATTACAGTACCAATGGCATATTTCACAGACATAGAACAAACACTTCAAAAATTTATATGGAACCATAAACGACCCCAAATAGCAGCTGCACTTTTGAGCAAGAAGAACAATATAAACATTTTATTATTATAAATAATGCTGCAATATATTTATGTAGTATATAAATACATCTGCAGGTTAACTCCCTCAAAGTACAAGTGCCAGGTTTTAGGGTGTATGCACAATTGCATTTCAAATAGTGTGACGCTTTCTATTAAGGTTATATATATATTTATATTCCCACCAGCTAGTGTGATAGTTTGTTTCTCCATGCTTATTGATATATTTTTAACTTTTGCCAACCTGATACATAAAAAGTGGTATCTTGGTGTATTTAATTTTTTATTTCTCTTATAATGTTGAGCACCTTTTCATATGTTTGAATTATTTTTATTTTCTTTAAGTAAATTATATGTTCAAATGCATTTTCCCACTGCATTTCCCACTATATTTATTTATAATAGATGTTTGAATATTAGGGAGACAAGTTCTTTCCCTATGATGTATTGCAAATGGTCTTCCAATTATGGCATCTGTGTTTTAAAAAAATTTTTGAAAAGGACTTGTTTAAAACTACCATTAAATCAATAAAAGAAAATGTAAAAGACAATACATTTAAAGAAAATATAAAAATAATACATTTAAAGATCTGCATGAAAATGTATAGCCATTTTGGAAAATAATATGAAAGTTTCTTATAAACTTAAATATATATTACAAGAAAACACAGGAGTAAATCTTTGTGACCATGGATTAGACACAATTTCTTAGATGTTATCTAGCATCAACAGCACAATGGTAAAAGAAACTGGACTTGGACTTGATTGAAATTAAAACTTTTGTGTCTCAAAGGACACAGTCAAGAAACTGACAAGACAGTCCACAGAATGGGGGGAAAATATTTTCAAATCATGTGATGTCTGGCACAAATAATGCCCTGTTTTATTACAAAATCTTTTATTACAAAGTCATAATATGTAATTCTGTAACATAACAATATCACACTCAAGTACACCATATGGCATTTCAGGTGAAATGTTCAAATTAAAACCATAAATCATCACACCCATATTATTACCCTACCAACCACACTCAAGCAGCATTACTTCTGCCAGACCCTGTACATACAAGGTTTTAATACACAAAACATATAAAGAACTCCTACAACTCAAAAACAAAAAAAGAAATAACCTAATTTAAGTAACAGGCAAAGACTCTGAATAAAAACTTCTCCGAAGAAGATATATAAATTGCCCAAAACCACAAGAAAATATGCTTAACATTATTAGTCATTTGATAAATGCAAATAAAAATCATGAGATAACACTTCATATCCACTAGGATGGCTGTAATAAAAAGACAGACAATAACAAGTGTTGACAAGGATGTGGAGAATGAGACCCCTCATATATTGCTGGTGGAAATGCAAACTGGTACTGTCACTTGGGAAAACAGTTTGCCAGTACTTCAAAAAGTTAAACATAAAGTTACCATACAACCCAGCAAGTCCATTATTAAGTATATACTCAAAAGAAATGAAAACATAGGTCTACAGAAACTTATACAAGAATGTTCATACAGCATTATTCGTAACAGCCAAAAAGTATATGTATCAGAAGTCCATCAACTGGTGAATGGGTAAACAAAATGTGAGGTATCCATATAACAAAATATTATTCAGCCATAAAATGGAGTAAAGTATTGATACATGCTTAAAACATGGATGAATTTTCAAAATATTATGGTAAGTGTAAGAAGTCATTCATAAAAGATTACTTATTGTATAAGTCAATTTATATAAAATGTCCAGAAGAAGCAAACTTACAGAAACAGAGAATAGATAAATGGTTCCTAAGGGCAGAAGTGAAGGGGTGTGGTATGGGTAATGGGTATAGAGTGATAAAAGTGTTCTGAAATTAGATAGTGATGACATTTGTACAACTTTATGAATATACTGAAAACCAGTGAACTGTAAATGTTATGTGAATCATATATATCAATAAAGTTATCATTTCAAAAAGTTAAAATTCACTTACCATATGAGCCAGAAAACCTATTCCTAGTATTTTCCCAAGAAATAAAAACATGTGTGCACATGAACAACTCTATGCAAATGTGTCTATCACCTTTTCCATAATTATCCCAAACTGGAAACAACTGAGTCATCCATTAATCAGTGAATAAACAAACTCTAGTACATTCACATTGTACTACTAAGCAAGATAAAAGAATAAACTGCTGGAAGGAAAGTAATGGGGGAAAAATAGGGACAACTGTGACTGAACAACAATAAAAAAAAGAACTAATATATGCAAAAACATAAATGAATCTTGAATCTGTTATATGAAGTGAAGGAAACAAGAATTAATGGTTAATAGAGTATGATTCTACTTATGTAACATTCTGGAAAAAGCACAATTGTGGAAACAAAAACAGACCAGTGTGTGGACAAGCCTGGGAGAGTAGGGGGAGGGGAGTGACTACAAAGGAGCAGAGAAGAACATTGTGGGTCATAAACACAGATATATTTATACCCAAAATATGTATGTACCCATATTTTGGGGTACATAAGATGCATGTACCCCAATTTAGGAGGAATAATGGTTGTTAATGTTGCTGCTGAGTTCTGTTTTCATTTACATTGGTGAAATATTATGTTATTTATGTTATTAAATATTTTACCACATTTTTGCTTCAAACTTTTTTTCCTATTTTTGTCCTCTAAAACCTAGGTGCATCTTATGGTTTTAAAAATAGAGTATATAAATTTATATATACCACATTTATATAAATATAAATATTTATATAAATATACCACATTTATATATAAATATATAAATGTTCTATATCTTGACTGTAGTAATGGTTACATGACTGTCAAAATTCATAAAACTGTACATGTGAGACAACTTATCATACAATTTCAGTGTATGTTAATTATACTTTAATAGATACAACCAAAACTCTGCACAAAATCTCAGTCACTTCATAATCATATGAGGGAAAAGCATAGGATGCTTAAGTATTTTTTAAAACTCTCCAAAGAACCCTTGTGTATTTTTCTGTTCTTTACTCCTTGAATATTTTGAGTACAGCACTACATAGAGATTAATGGTATCCTTCTATTCTTAATCTTTAAAATAAAAAATATAATTTAAAAATGTGTGATTTTTTCCAGTATCTTTTCCTGCTGCTTCAGTACTACATCCTCTTACATAAACCCCACATAGAACATGGCTATCATTTTGTCTAAAATCTGTCTTTCTGATAAAAAAAAGTATGATAAAAAATGCTCATTTTAGCATAACAGAATAAATGTGGCTATGTTAACTGTTCTGTTACAAAGACCATTTATTTGTTTGAATAATAGATGATAAAGATAATATAATGAAGCCTGTCCAGAAAGTATCCAGCCATGTAATATGAAAAATAGATACATTTACCGAAGAAGACACAAGATACAAGAGATATTGTATGTAGGGCAATGATGTCTCAGTTCCCTTCAAAGTAGGTACCTTGGGACCTCACCCAGTTCTCCCAATTTCCATCAGCTGCCCCATTGTATTTTCCTGAATCTCATAGACTGAAGTCTCCTCCCTTTCAAAGGTGATTTTCCTTTTGGGAAAAACCAGAAGTTGCAGGGTGCCAAATCTGGGTTGCAGGGGGTGCTAAGTCACCTGGGTGATTTGATGTTTCACCAAAACACTCTGCAGGAGACGTGATGCATGAGCGGGCACACTGTGGCGATAAAGCTGTCAATCACAGTGTGGCCTTGTGAATCCTCCCAATAGTTTCCACAGAGGAGCTTAATTCAAGATTGGATGTAGATCCATTGCCCCACTCCCTCATTTTGAATGCGACAGCCACACAGTACACATGCTCGCTCAACAGCGTCTCCTGTCCCTACTGACTAGTACAATGAAATTGTCATTGTTCATGCATGCACATTCCAATCCACTTATCTTGGCTACCAGGTTACATGGTTACATTGATGTTGTGCGAACTGTTCTCATTATACTAACCATGGCTGGGCTTTTCCTGGACAGGCCTCGTATATAGATAAAAACTTCCTTTCCATGAAAAAATTTTGACAATTTAAAAAAGAATAATTACTGATTATTTGGCCTTTAAGTTTCCTTGATGAAAAATGTAAGCTCGATGAAAACAGGGACTTTATGGCACAATTCTCGGTAGCTGTCTGGAACAGTGTGTCTGGCTCTAAAGAAATATTTGTTAAATAAGCAGACAGATATGGACCTACCATTAGTTCAATATCACTGCCAATTATATAGAGTTGATCTTCCATAGAAAGCTTCCTGTTCAAATGGGCGAGCACATACGTAATTCCAGGTAAACGCACAGCAGGACTGGTTAGAAGACTGCCCCAGAGGGCACTGTAGAATGCTGACTGGTCCACTGCAGCAGCGACCTTTTCCAACAACGTGTTTGTTCTGAGGTACAAAATAAAGTGCTTCAGGAAGGGAAACGTTTAGTTTCACACTGTTAAAAATAAATCACTGTTCTCTTCTAGAACATATGAAAGCATCCATGTTACAGTTATATGCTCCACCCGAGACTACTGTGACAGACTGGAAGAAGCATACACCTCAGAGATCAGAGGACTGGATTTAAGTCTGGCTCCACCGCTTACTAGCTGTGTAATTTCAGAAAATCAATCTCCCTTCAGTTCAGTTTCCCCATTTGTAAAATGAGGATAACAACAAATACCACAAACCTTGTCAATTTCAGTGGGTTGTTAAACACATTCATTTTAGTTAATAGAATCTTATAGCAAAACATATTTTCTATAAAATCTTTTTTAAAAGATTTTATATATTTATTTTGAGACAGAGGGGAAGGGAGGGAGAAAGAGAGGGAGAGAAACATCAATGTGCAGTTGCTTCTCACGTGCCCCCCACTGGGGACCTGGTCTGCAACCCACATATGTGCCCTGACTAGGAATCGAACCAGTGACCCTTTGATCCACAGGCCGGTGCTCAATCTACTAAGCCACATCAGCCAGGGCTCATATTTTCTATAAAATCTTAAAGGGCATTTCCAAATATTTCTTTCTCTTTGAAATCAGAACAGCTATGTAATTCAGAACAACTTTGATGAATTAGACCTATGACAAAATCATTATTGCTCTATTAAGGATTACATTTAAGAATTAATACTCTTTATTTTCTTTAAATATAAAATAAACAACTTAATACACAAAATATTCATAATATTATAGCATAGTAGGGTCAGAAACAAGAAAATCTGATAGTTTTATTGTTTACTTACTATGTAATTTAATACTAACACTCTAATCCCTTCTCTTTTTTTCTTTATTTTTATTAGTGACACTGTAATCCCTTCTGACCTCAATTTTATCTATGCATTAAAAGAACATGTTTACAAATCCTTTCATAGAACTTGTGTGGAATAAATGGATAAACATAGTGCTATGGTCTGAATGTTTGTGTCCCTTCAATATTCGTATGTTAAACTAATTCCCAAAGCTGATGGTATCTGGAAGTGGAGCTTCATGGAAGTGTTTAAGTCATGAGGGCCTACTCTCTTGGATGAGTTTAGTTTTCTTATGAAAGAAACCCCACAGAGCTGAATAGCCCCTTCTACTACTTGCAGACATGGAGAGAAGGCTCCCGCTATAAGCCAGAAAGAGTGCTCTCACCAGAACAAGACAGTGCTGGCCTTAGACTTCCAAACTGCAGTACTGTGAGAAGTAAATTTCTTTGTTTATAAGTTACCCAGTTTGTGCTACACTATTATGGCAGCCCAAATGGACTAAGACACACAACGAGGTAAATCATAGGGATACCACATTAATACAGGTCATTGTTCATCTCTAAGTTAACATTTCTAATTGTTAACTAGTGGAGTTATAGAGTAGCACTGATTCTATGCTTGCTTTAGGAGAATTATGTAAAAATTTAAAACAAAACGGATTTATAAACTAAATGAAGTAGTCTCACATTATGTTTCTAAAATTGTTAGCAAGTAAGTAAAAAACTTAATAAATGATAAGCTTTGGGAACAAAATTATTTTTTCCTCAAAGTAGCCTGTAAGGGTTATTCAACATTTTTTGGATTAGATTCTGACTACATTATGGGAGTAGATGAAATACAATAAAATAGAGTACTAGGTAAATGTACCAGAATAAATTATTTAAATTTAAATGATTAAGTCTACTTATTAAATAAATTTGACATCTTCAATTTTTGCTATCTCAACTCCTAAGTTCCTTTTTGGTATGAATAATGTGATATTAAAGATATTTAATGCCATCTTGCATTGTCTACCACTGTTAATTTACAAAGACATAATAAGAGGCTCTAAGACAGATCAAATCATTTTCTTTGAAAAGTTAAAATATCAATAGTGTTACGTCAATGGCTAGTGAAACAACACTGCACTTAGAGCTAGGTTATTTTCCAGCATTAACAATTTAAAAACTGATGGTAATGGCCCAATTTCCCATTTTAAAAATTAAATGTCCTACCTATTGTATTTTTATATTAAATTACAGGTCACAATTTTTGAGTAACTTAACTATGCTAGGCTCTGGACTAAATAATATATTATGCTTGTTTATGGATGAGAGAATTGAAAAAAGTTCAGAAATGTATATACAGAAGTTTTCTTGAGCTGGCACAATACCTGTTGAGCCAGGATTTAAACCCAATACATTCCTCTTTCTCCCAAGTCTTTATTCTTACCACCTAGCTATATTTTCAGTGTGTTACACAGACTGGATACATTACAATAATTTCTTTTATGCTATAGAAACCTTCAGGAGGTATGCTGAAAGATCTGGAATAATAAATTTTTGCGACGTTAAAATGCGTGCTGAGAAACCCATGACTTCGGTTACGTAGCTGTACCCAAACAGCACATCTCACCTCTCATAGTACTCCGATCCTTCTTCCAAGCCGGGAAGAATACCAGTCAGCAGCCCCTGCAGACCAGGCTTCAGTGTTTTACCCAAGGGCAGGTAATAAATCTCATACAGACTTAGCAATGTTGGTTTCACAGACATGGCAGCATTTGCAAGAAGAGGAAACAATCCAGAACTGTTTAAAAATATAAAAACATGAGCAGCTATACAACAACAAAGTAGACAATCTAGAAAAAATGGAAGAAGTTTTTAGAAACTTAGAAAGTACCAAGACTGATTCAGGAAGAAATACAAAGTCTGAATAGACTGATTAGTAGTAAGGAGATTGAATCAGTAATCAAAAACTCCCAAAGAAAAGCCCAGGACCAGATGGCTTCGATAGGGAATTTAACCAAATATTTACTGAATAACTAATGCTAATCCTTCTCAAACTTTTCCAAAAAAAATCAAAGAAGAGGGAACACTTCCAAACTCATTTTCTGAGGCCATACCAAAGCCAGAAAAGGATACTATCAGAAAACTACAGACCAATATCCTGATGAATATGGTATAAAAATGCAGAATAAAACACAGCAAACTGGATTTGTCAGCACATTAAAATAACTGTTCACCATGATCAAGAGAGATCTATACCTGGGATGCACAGGTACATGCACAAAACCAATGCAATATATCATATTAATAAAATGAAAGAAAAACATCATATAAACTTTTCACAGGAGCAGAAAAAGCATTTGATGAAATTCAACACCCATTCATAATATTTATAGTATCAAAGAACTGAATTAAATAACAAATAATATTGCTTAGATTACTCATTCAACAAATATGTATTAAGGGTCTATTATCTATCACATAGTCTTTAAGGTGCTAAGATTGTAACAGTTAATAAATTACATTAAACAATTCCTGTCCCGTGCCCTCATAAAACCTATTTTCAAGAGTCAAAGGTAGTAGATACACAGTAACTGGACAATATATATCTCAGATAGTGAAAAGTGTCACCACGTTGAAAAAAGGCACAGGAGGAAAAAAGCAGGGGCAGTTATTGCAATTTAAATACAGCACTCAGACATGGCTTATTTGAGCAAAAAATTAAAGAGAAAACATTTTCACAGTGAAGTGAATTAGCAAAGCCAAAAGTTTGTTTTTTTTTAATAATAAAAATTGGTAAACTCATTACAAGACTGATCAAAGTGAAAAAAAAAAAAGGATTTCTAAGCCACCAATGCCAAGAGTGAAAGAAGAGACATCACTATACATTGTGTATGTGTATACACACACACACACAACATATATATGTAATACAAAGATAGTAAGAGTATATAATGAACAACTCTAGGTAGGTAGAACTTAACATGTAGATAAAATGGGCAAATTTCTAGAAAAAAGTAATAAAACTGACATAAGTAGAAATTTTAAATAGTCCCATTATCTACTAAAGAAATTAAATCTGTAACTGTAAACTCTCCCACACAGATAAACTCCAAATGGCTTCAATGGAGAATCATACAAATATTTAAGAAACTATATCAATATTATAAAACTTCCAGATATTGGAAAAAGTTCCCGACTTGATTCCAAACCAGATAAAAATGTTAAACCAGTCATTCTGTAGTGAACATGGATGCAAAACAACTAAAATAAATAAATAAATAAATAAATAAATAAATAAATAAATAAATAAATAAATACAGTGACATAAAAAAGATGACAAATCATGAGCAAACATATATTCCAGAAATGAGAGGTGCATTAAAACATCAAAAAGTCTTGAACCCTTTCTACTTGCGGTGGAAAACACAAGAAAGACGTCCACATCACCAGTTCTCTTTAACATTGTCCTAGAGCTCCCTGTCAGTTCAATAAGGCAAGCAAAAAATATCATTATCTTAAAATCAGAGCATAAGAAATAGAGCTGTCATTATTTGCATATGACATAACTATATGTGTTCAGATTCCAAGAGTCTAAAAGCTATCAGAAAGAACAGGTGGATTTGGCAAAGTTTCTGGATACAAAATCAATATAAGAAAATCATTGTATTTGTAAATTTTAGCAACAATATCTCAAACAAAGACTCCTTAAACAAGAAACTAAATGACCACACATAGAAGAAAAGGTTCAGAAACTGGACTTCATTAAAACTAAGAACTTTCTTCAAAAAACAGCATAAAGAAATTCTGGTCCTTCGAAGATGCCATTGAGAGAACAAAAAGGCAAGTCACAGGCTGGGGGATAAATACATATGAGTATACATAAATACAAATATATGGATATAAACAGGAACAGAGAAAGAGATAGAAGAAGAGAGGGACAGGGAGGCAGGGAGTGGGAGAGAGAAATACAGAGAGTTGGAGAGAGCTTTTGACTAGAAAAGGAGGAAATTATCTGGTGACAGAAATGTCATATCTTGTTTAGAGTGGTGGCTACACAACTGACTACATTTGTTAAAACTGATCAAATTGAACATATGATCTGTGCATTTTATAGTATGTAAATTACAGCTACAATAAAAAAAAAGAGAGACAGAGAAAGAATTGATGATCTAGATGGCAACATAAGTTTCTCTCTACTTCAGTCCCTGTCACAATAGGAACAACTACTAACTATCCTTCGACAAGGTACCACTGTGAAATTCCTGGAACATGGGGGTGAGGATGACATACTATTTCTGAACCACAAAGACTAAGAAGGACCACAAAGAACCACACTAGAGAAGGGTAAGAGGAATGGTTATACTCCCACAGCACTGCTGTCCACCAGGCTGATAGAGTACCACACCAAGAGGGTGCCACTGACCTACAGTGTCACCCGTGAGGAAAAGACCAAGACAGACATCTAGCACCTCCAGGACTGTGGAATGCTTCATGGGAGGTCCACTTGGGTCTTTCAACCCCACAAAGGATGAAAGGGGAACATATGGGGATTGACTATTGAATATCAGATTGAAAAATGAAACTGTTCTTTCTTTTTTTATCCTTACCCAAGGCTATGTTTATTGTTTTTTACAGAGGGGAAGGGAGAGGGAGAGAAACAATGATGTGAGAGAGAAACAATGATTGATTGCCTTTCACATGTGTCCCAACCAGGACCAAACCTGCAACCTCAGCATGTGCCCTGACCAGGAATCAAACCCTTGATCTTTCGGTTTGTGGGATGACGCCCAACCAACTAAGCCACACTGGCCAGAGGAAGAAACTGGCATTTAACAACACTATAGACCCAACAGTCCTAACATACATTTACAGAACATTCTATCAACAGCAGTAGAATACACATTCTTCTCAAGAAGAACAGAATATTTTGTAGAACAGATCATATGTTAGGCTACAAAACAAGTCTTAAAAAATTCAAGAAGACAGAAATTATATCGAGTATTTTTTCTAACCACAATGATATGAAACTGGAAAATTCACAAACACAAAGAAATTAAACATCACACTCCTGAACACAAATGGATTAGAGAAGAAATCAAAAGAGAAATAAAAATACCTAGAAATGAATGCAAATGGGAACACAACATACCAAAACTTATGCGGTATGTACACATAGTTCTAAGAATGAAGTCTACAATAATAAATACATATATCAAGAAAAAGAAAAGACATCAAATAAACAACCAAACTTTATGCCCCTAGGAACTAGAAAAAAAAAAGCAAAGCCAAAAATTAGAAGAAAAGAAATCATAAATATTAGAGCAGAAATAAATGAAATAGAGAACAGGAAAACAATAGAAAAGATTAACAAAACTCAGAGTTCCTTCTGGGGAAAAAACAAACAAAACTGACAAAATCTGAGCTACATTAATCAAGAAAAAATAAAAAGAAACCAAATGAATAAAATTATAAAGGAAACATTATACCTGATATCGCAGAAATAAAAAGAATTATAAAGGACTGCTACAAATAATTATACATAAAAAATTGGATAACCTAGAATGAATTCTTAGAAATATAAAACCTACCAAGATTAAATCTTGAAGAAATAGAAAATCTAAACAGAGCAATAAAAAGTAAGGAGATTACATCAATAATTAAAACCTTGCAACAAGGGACAGCTCAGGACCAGATGGTTTCATTGGTGAATTTTTTTCAATTTTTTATTCCTTTTATTGATTCTAGAAAGAGGGGGAGAGATAGAGAGAGGGAAAGAAACATCTTTCCCCTGCCTTCCCCCTCTCTAAAAATAAAATTTTTAAAATACATACACATACTAAAAAGTTTACTCTGGTACTGTGTGAAGAAAAGAATCTCAAAGGATAAGAACAGATGTGTGAATGTTATGAGGCCAGTGACAAAGACCAGGCTAGAGATGATGCTTACATAGAGTGGACGCAGCTAGCAAAGGTAGAGAGAAACAAATGTATTTGGGACATATATCAGAACAATAGCTAACATTTATTGCACTAATACTGTACATTGTTCTAAGCACTTCGCATATGTTAAGTCTTAATTCTATTAACAACCTATAAAATTTGACATTTTGCAGATGAGAACACACATGCAGGTGAAGAAAATGGCCCAAGGTCACAGGAGGAGTTAGTGATAAAAACAGTCTGATTCCATGGCCTCTGTTCTTAACCACTGTTGAGACAGAAATCTTAGTGACAGAATGTACATGGGGAGAAAAAGAACGTGGGCAAGCAAAACAAGATATCAAGTGTAACTTTCAGATTTCAGGCTTGTGTAAATGGATTGACAATGGTGCCATTTACCGAGCTTTAGTGCACTGCAGAAGACCAGGATTATAACAGAAGAGGATGAATTTACTTTGGAACAGGTTGAGTTTCAATTAAAAAGTTAAAAATTAAATTTATTAGGGTGACAATGGTTAATAAAATTATAATGTATAGGTTTCAAGTACACAATTCTGTATCATCTATATATCGCATTGCATGTTTACCGCCCAAAGTCAGATCTCCTTCTGTCACAATATACTTGACCTCCCTTTACCACTTACTACCCCATCCCACTTTTCCTCTGGTAACCACCATACTGTTGTCTGTGTCTATGAATTCTTGTTTGTCTGTTTGTACATTTGTCACTTTCAGTTTTATAACCCACATATGAATGAAATCATATGGTTCTTGACTTTCTTTGCTTGACGTGTATGACAAAGAAAAGTTTGAAACCATTTATTTGCAAAGATATATACATCTTTATGCCCAGTGCATTATTCACAGTGGCCAAGACATGGAAATAACTGAAGTGGCTCTTAACAGATGACTGGATAAAAAATATGTGGTACATATATACAATGGAATATTACTCAGCCATAGGAAAGGATGAAATACTACAATTTGTAACAACATAGATAAATGTTGACAACATCATGATATGCAAAATAAGCCAACTATCTTTTAAAAATCCACACAGAGATGGCATGTAAGCCAGAAATTTAAAGCAGAAGCTACATGCACAAAAGATAAATCATGGGCATGGATAAACATTCCCAAGAAGTGAATGTAAAGTGAAACTATAAGGTACAGGACTAAGCAAGCCTTAAGAAACTCCATTAAGTAGACTTCAGGGAAAGGAGGGAAGGCTGGTAAAGTGATAAGTAACTAAACTGGAGAAAACACAGTATCAGAGAAGCCAAGAGAAAACAGTATTTCAAGTAGACAATGGTCAACAATGTTGAAAGTTACCAAAGACATTAAGGTATCTTATTTTTCTCAGGGTAGTTCTCAAGCTTAAAAAAGTAGAAAGTCCTGTAGGCTCAACAATTTTAAATAAAAACTTCACAAATAACCTCTAAGAAAAAAATTTTACACTGAACAATAACTAAAATTTTTCTAAACCACTGAACTATTAAAATATTTATGACCCATATGTGAAAACCTCCATCAAGGAATTTTTAATTTTTTAACTTTTACTGCAAAAAACATAAAATAGTTAAAATATATTCTACTTCTATGTAAACAGAGAGTAAAATTATTCTTACCTATATAAAAAAAGATCTTTGGCAAGTCGCTTAGGTCCAATGATTTTGAAGATAATCTCGTATGTTTCAAGTGCCTTCCGATGAACCCCACCTGGTAGTGCCGGATGCAGACACTGAGCGAGGCGTTTGCCTATCGTCAGCTTTTTAGGTACTACCTGGTACTTTGCATTATTTTGTAAAACCTTGAAGAAAACATTTTAATTCAGCTGAGAAACAAATATCACATTCCATTTTATTTTTGCTTTCTAACACACTATTATCAAAAAATCCTTATAGAACTTCCATATACTTTAAACAAATTAGAGAGGGGACCAAAAAACTTTTATTTCTGTCAGTTACATCTATTAAGGTATATCATATTAGAAATTAAAACTGAGGATTTAAAAATATTTCTTGTGTTTTTAAAAATCCATTGCATATTAATAGAAATTGTGTATTTTATGAAGAATAACAATATTCCAAAGTAATATTTTCAGAAGACAGGCAATGTCTTAGATGTTCTGTAAAACTTTCATGTTAATCAGCCTTTGACCTATTTGGATATGTTGTTTGAAATATACAGAGAATATTGGACTTGAAGAGGGAGAAACACTGCTTTAGTGTATATGTTATAATAGCAAGTCACTGTAATGTTTACAAAAATCTACAGGAGATTAAAATTGCCTATTTGTTTTTACTACAATTCCCAAATGGACCAAACACATTTTGCTTTATTTATTCAATCAGAACATTTCTTAAGAGATCATTGGTCAGGGCAGAATTTATAGAAGATCTTATTTTACAAACCACCCAAAGAAGATTGGTTATTTAAATAATAAAAAGAACTTATGAATGTAGTCCTTTAAAGTATTATGGTAAAGGGATGGCAGAATATTATAAAATGAACACTAAGAATGAATACAAAATAACATATTAGAACTGAATTTAGAAGTACACAAAAGTCCTTTATTTTACAAAATAAAGAACAGAGGTTAAAATACATAACATGAGACTTGCCAAAGGCATTATTAGCAGAAGAGTCAGCACTAGATCTTCCAGTTCAGTAAAAAAAAGACAAGTAGAGGCTGTAACTGAGGTCCATTTTATATTTAAAAACACAAAAATCTTTGCCTTGTTTCACTGAGACTTTAAGTAAGTTTAATTAATGACTTGAATACCCTACGTTGAATTATCTGGATACAGTAGTCTGTTTACATGAATATTGATAACTATAAAAAACTAATTATATATGTGATTAAGCAAATTAATTTCCACAATTTGAACACTTTTAAATATAGTTTCGAGCAAGTCTTCAGAAAAAGACTCTTCAGAACAAAAAAGAACCTAACTACCTTTAAGCAAACTAGTACTGTTGGCTGTAGTTTCATGGGGATGTTGTAAAAACTCTGAAAATGTATCAGACCTCAAATTATAAATGTTAGAATTTAACATGACAAACATAAGTCTGGGCTTCTAATTTTAAGATAAATTCTTGGCATACTGAAAATGAAAGCTCTTCTTTTTAAGATAGCAAGGTAATCACCTATAGTATCAGAAGGAAAACTAGTGTTCTCGGTGTGTATTTGAATACAAATTTCTTTCCTAATAATTGCATGCTAAGTTGTTTGATGTTAAAATTGTTATTGAAAGAGCTTTCCTTTTCTATTTGCTCCCCTGGTTCATTTAATATTTAGAAGCATTCCTATTCATTGACAACTACTTTAAAAAAATCCAAAAAGCTTTAAAAATGTAAAAACTATGGATATAAAGAGATAAAAATTTGATTTTAGCTAAGGAAAAAAGTAGTGTCAAAATTTAAAGCTATGATCAATGATACCACCATATTTACAATGGATAAAAATCAGACAAGTCAAGAAAGATCATTCAAGGCCAAGCTCTAAGTCACTGCTTGTAATTTTTCTAAAAAGTATTATATTGACTATTGTTATGGCTTGGTGGGATATAAAATGTTTCCTTACTGTTACATACCATTTGCAAAGGACACATTACTGCTTTCCACATGCAGGTTTTCACTTTGTTGCCACCAATTCCAGAACCCTATGTGTTGCTCAACTACAGAAACTTACTAGCCCTATGGCTTTGTTATGTGTTTTTATAGGTAACAATAACAACAACTATGTTTTGTTTTGGTCTTAAAAATATGCCAGACTACACAGGCAAGCAACTCATGAAGTAAAATAGCAATAACAAATGTAATTCTGAGGTTTAATTATGTTTTCAAATTTTTAACTTCAAGATTTAGAGAAATTTAATAAGCATGGACACAGATTACTGATTTGTAACTCCTTTTTCTGATATGGATGAGACTGACATACCTTATTAAGTTTTCCAAGTGCCGAAATCAAATCTGCCCATTCACTGGAGTATTCAAAATTCTTTAGTGCTTTGTCAATTGCAGCTACATAGTTTCTATATTTGGAGTCACTCAATAACTCCAGCTCTTCTGTGTTCATCCTCCCACAGTGTCTCACTAGAAGCCAGATCCAAAATCATGTAAAATCATTACCTACAAAAGAATTTTGCAGGAGGAACCAAAGTTACAAGTAAAGTATTAAAATGGGTTCAGATGCTCTTGCACTCTGATCAGCTAGTATGCAGGGTCATGGAAGTATTAAAAGACAGCTTTAGAGAAAACTCATTCTGTGCTTCTTCCTAGGAACTGTAAAAATGGCTGTGAGATTTTAGGGATATAGAAGAGTAGGAAATATATTTCCATTTAAAAATCATCTTATTTCCCTATCATACTTGCTGATAAAACATTCTGATATACATAGCTCTTTCTTTTGTTTTGATCCCACACACTAAGACTGGTTAGACTATAAACATCAAGGACATGCAAAATAAAAAAGGAAAAAAATGAATGATTTGGAGATTATCTTATTTTATTAAGCAATAAATCAGCATACAGTATGAAGGAACACCAGCTCATTGAAATTAAACCTTAATTTCTTAATTTTAATAAAAATAAGGGGCGGGGGAGGCTGGGATGGGAGAAATAGACAAAAAAACTGTACTTGAAAAATAACTAAATAAAATTTTTTAAAAAATGACAAGTACATGTGGTAGTTTAAAATGTATTCATAAATTCTTTGATATTTCTTTCAAAAAGTGGTTCCTAATCCTCCAGCCCTTTGGGCTGGGCTTTGTGACTTAATTCGAAGGAAAATAATAAAGCAGAAATGACAATGTATAATGTCTAGGACTATGTCATAGATGCATCCTAGATTCTGCCCCGCGCCCATCTTTAGTGCTGGGGGAAGCCAGCCAGCCAGCCGCCATGTTATAAGGACACTTCTAAGAACCCTATGGATTAGTTCCTGCGGTAAGGGTTTGAGGTTTTCTGACAAGAGCCTTGAGAATGAACCACTTTAGAAGCAGATCCTCCAGCCCCAGGCAAGCCTTGATTTGACTGAAAGACTAATCCACACCTTGATTGTTACTTAATGAGAGAATCTAAGCCAGAAATACACAACTATAGCCCTCAAATTTATACCTACAGAAGCTGCTGTTTTAGGCCACTGAGTCTGGAAGTAATTTATTATACAGCAATAGATAACTGACACAGAGTAGTAACAGGATTTAATTAAGGCTTAACTTGAAAACCAATGTAGCCTCTCCTGCAATTATTTTCATGTCCTTTCTGACCTAGTCAACTAACTCTGGAACTTTCCCTGGAGCTGGGTTCGTGGAACCAAAGGAGGATCTAAGAATGGGTCTCAAAAGGAGTCCAACACAATTCAATGGGGAGAGGGATGGTGTAAAAATAGTCTTTTCAACAAATGGTTTGGGGATAACTAGACATCCACTTCTGTAAAAGAACTAAGTTTGTTCCATCCTCATACCTACATAAAAGTTAACTCAATACAGATCATAGATTTAAATGGAACAGCACTACAAAACCCCTAGAAGAAAATACGGGATTAAATCTTTGTAACCCAGGGCCAGTCAGTCTTAGAAATAACACTGACAGCACTGCAAGCAACAAAAGAAAAAAACAGTTAAATTGGACTCCATCAACATTAAAAACCTTTGCACTTCATAGGATACTATCAACTCACAGAATGGAAGAGCATCTATCTCCCATATTTCTGATAAGGAACTTGAAATATATAAAGAACGTTTATAAGTTCATAATAAAAAGACAAATAATTTAAAAATGGCCAAAAGATGTGAGTAGACATTTCTCCAAATACATACAAGTGGTCAATAAGTTCAAAAAATGATACTCAAATCCTTAATCACCAGGGAATGCAATTAAAAACCACAGTGAGATACACAACTAGGATGCTGGAATTAAAAAAACATTAAAAAATTTGGGAAAGATACGGAGAAATGGAAACCTTCTACACTGCTGGTGGGAATGTAAATTAGTGAAGCTGCTTTGGAAAATAGTCTAACAGTTCTCAAAAGGTTAAACATGGAATTATTGTGTGACTCAGCAACTCCACTGCTAGGTGTGTTATATGCACCCAAATGAGATGAAAACATGTCCACACAAAACTTTTGGATGAATGTTCAAAGAAGAATTATCCATAATAGCTAAAGACAGGAAACAACACAAATGTCCATCAACTAATGTGTGGATAAATAAAATACATTATTTTATATATGGTTGGAATATTCTCCAACCATAAACAGGAATTAAGTACCACTACATGCTACAACATGAACACTGAAAGCAATTCATGCTAAGTGACAGAAACCTTTTACAAAAAAACATATATTGTACGATTCTACTTATATGAAATGTCCAGAATAGACAAATCTATAGAGAAGTACATTAGTTTTTGCTTAGGGTGGTGGGAGGCAGGAATAAGGGGGAAATGGAGAGTGATTCTTAATGAGAATGGGGCTTCCTGATTATAAAAATTATCAAAATTGAGCATAGGAGTGGTGATACAACTGTGAATGCATTGAAAACCACTAAATTACACACTTTAAATGGGTGAGTTGTATGGTATGTACATTATCTCAATAAAGATAAACATATAAAATGGGCCTCATGGATCTGTGAAATTCCTCAAAATACACACAAAATTTACATATTACATTTTGAGGGGGAGACAAGTCTACTACTTTAATAATATTTGCAAAAATATTTTCCAACATTATCCTCAAAAAGTTTAAAGATGAGACTTCCACCAAGATGGAGGCGTAGATGGAAGCACTGCAACTTCTCGCACAACCAAGTTTAAAAACAACAAAGTTTTAGCAACAAAAACGCAGCCAAAACCACAGAAAATTGAACTACACGTAAGTCTGACAACACCAAACCCTTCAGCCAAACTGGTAAGAGGGGCAAAGCCAGCAGCAGAGCAGGGTCGGGCAAGAAAGATCCACCAGACCCGGGTGCAAGACCCAGGCACGATGGCAGCCGTGGGTGGATCCCAGGTGTGGAGTAGCTGGCAGACCCACTGAGGTCCCAGGGTAGTGGACTCAATGAGGGCTGACCACGGTCACACATTCACGCAGATAAACCGGTGGCACGAGCGGGGAGACAGACTGTGCAGGCCCCAGTGGCAGGAAGCAGCAGAGGGGACTGCTATTGTCCCTCTCTGACTCCACCCCCACATACAGCCTCACAAACCAGCGACCTAGATGGCCCCGCCCTGGTGAATACCTAAGGCTCTGCTCCTCATATCTAACAGGCATGAACAGATCAAAACATGGCTCAAGAACAACTCAGAGCCCCAGAGCCAATAAATCTAAGCGATGAAGAAATAGCCAAACTTTCAGATGCACAGTTCAAAACACTGCTGATCGGGATGCTCACAGAACTGGTTGATTTTAGTCACAAATTAGAGGAACATATGAAGGCTAAACTAATTGAAATGAATGGAAATGCACAGGAAACCAATAGTAATGGAAAGGAAACTGGGACTCAAATCAAAGGAGTGGACCAGAAAGAGGAAAAAAATGACCAAACAGAAAAGGATGAAGAAACAAGAATTCAAAAAAAGGAGGAGAGGCTTAGGAACCTCCAGGACATCTTTAAACATCCCAACATCTGAGTTATAGGGGTACCAGAAGGGAAAGAGGAACACACACGAGTGGAAAGCTTATTTGAACAAATAATAAAGGAGAACTTCCCCATTCTGGCAGAGGAAATAGACTTCCAGGAAATTCAGGAAGCTCAGAGAGTCCCAAAGAAGTTGGACCCAAGAAGAAACACACCAAGGCACATCATCATTACATTAGCCAAGATTAAAATGAAGGAGAGAATCCTAGAAGCAGCAAGAGATAAGGGACAGTCACCTACAAAGGAGTTCCCATCAGACTGTCAGCAGATTTCTCAAAAGAGACCTTACAGGCAAGAAGGGGCTGGAAAGAAGTATTCCAAGTCATGAAATCCAAAGACCTACATCCAAGATTGCTCTATCCAGCAAAGCTTTCATTTAGAATGGAAGGGCAGATAAAGTGCTTCTCAGATAAGATCAAATTCAAGGAGTTCATCATCACTGAGCCCTTATTATATGAAATGTTAAAGGGACTTACCTAAGGAAAAGAATAAAAAAGATGAACAGTGAAAGGACAGCAAACTCACAGTTATTAAGAACCACACCTAAAACAAAAACAAACTAAGAGGACAGCTAGATCAGGAGCAGAACCATAGAAATGAAGATCACATGGAGGGTTAGCAACAGGGGAGTGGGAAAAGGAGAAGGGGGGAGAAGGTACAGAAAATAAGTAGCATAGATGTTAGGTAGAGAATAGATGGGGGGAGGGCAAGAATAGTATGGGAAGTATAGAATCTAAAGAACTTGAGACATGTGGTCATAAACTAAAGGGGGGGATGGTGGGGGAGGGGGTGTGCAGGGTGGAAGGGAATGAAGGGGGAAATAGAACAACTGTAATGGCACAATCAATAAAATATATTTTTTAAAAAGTTTAAAGAATTACTACTCTAGAAATCACAGCCTGTATTAGTAAAAACTGTTTTCAACACAAAAAGCTAATTTTTTATTACTTTAACACTTTATTTTTAGATGAAAAATTAAAGTCAATTATTTTTCCTCAGAATTTTATTATATTCTTCCATTATATTTGAGCATCATTTGAAGATAAATCAGATATCTGATCCTCTTTTCTTGTCTGATAACTATTTCTTCCTTTTCTTTTTTTTGTTTTTATGCTCATCACAGGACAGGACATGCTCTTATTGATTTTAGAGGGAGAGAGGGAGACAGAAACATCAATGTGGGAGAGAAACACTGACCTACTGTCTCCCATACACACCCTGACTGGGAATCGAACCTGCATTCTAGGTACGTGACCTGACCAATAACAGGTATCACCTTTTTTTGGTGTATGGGATGATGCTCCAACCAAATGGCCCATCTAGAAAGGGTTAATAAATTTTTTCTTGTTATCTGATACTTGTAGGATACTCTATAATGGTTGTTGTTGTTCAAGTACAATTGTCTCCATATTCCACCCACTAGTCCCCCCACCCCATCCATCCCCATCCTCAATCATACCCTCCTTTGGCTTTGTCCATGTATCCCC